ATATAAAATCAAAAAAACTATCTCAACGTGCTGTAATTAAATCTGAGTTGAGAAAATTATTAATTTATGAAATTGAATATTAAAATATATTGAGTCTAAAGAAATACGAAGAATTGAAAAATTAGAAATACTAAATGCTGAAAGATTTAGTTGTAAAATCTACTATATAAATCTTGCACAATCCACATTATAAATATAAATTGCGAGAAAATGGGTGGGTATGATAAGAATAATACCAAAAAACCAGTATACAAAGATTTAAGATATTATTGCATTAATGCAACTAAAAGTTCTATTTCATAATATTTTAAAATGTGCTAAATTAATTTCCATTTTAGTAATGCTTCAAAATTGTTAAAAAAGAAAAAAAAACTATAAAATAGAACTCTATCAACAAATATTGGACACAAGAAGTATATTAAAATAGATTTAAATTAAGGGTTAATATAGGTTAGTTTTTAAATTAATCAAGTGTTATTCCAATAATTCTTCCAAAAGGAAACGGTTTTTTATAAAAAACTCTCTTAAACCTTGAAAAATTGGAGTCTGGGCAAACCATAATATTAGATGTATCTAAATTTTAAATAATATTCTTTTACTGCAAAAGGGGTGTTAAAAAAAGGATATCTTGTATTTTTAACCTAAATTTCTTTAAATCTATAATCTGAACAATACTTGTTTTTGACATCCCATAGACAGATAGAGTTATCTCTACTACCAGAAGCTAATGTATTTCCATCAGGAGAGAAACAGACTGATATTACAGCATATGAATGACCATCTAATTTGGCTTTTTATTATCCTGTTTTTACATCCCATAGACGGATAGAGTTATCCCTACTACCAGAAGCTAATGTATTTCCATCAGGAGAGAAACAGACTGAGTAGACATAATGCTCATGACCATCTAATTTGGCTTTTTATTATCCTGTTTTGACATCCCATAGACGGATAGAACAATCATAACTACCAGAAGCTAATGTATTTCCATCAGGAGAGAAACAGACTGACATAATTTCCCTAGTATGACCATCTAATTTGGCTTTTTATTATCCTGTTTTGACATCCCATAGACGGATAGAGTTATCATTACTACCAGAAGCTAATGTATTTCCATCAGGAGAGAAACAGACTGAGTAGACAGTACTAGTATGACCATCTAATTTGGCTTTTTATTATCCTGTTTTGACATCCCATAGACGGATAGACTTATCATTACTACCAGAAGCTAATGTATTTCCATCAGGAGAGAAACAGACTGAGTAGACAGTACTAGTATGACCATCTAATTTGGCTTTTTATTATCCTGTTTTGACATCCCATAGACGGATAGACTTATCATTACTACCAGAAGCTAATGTATTTCCATCAGGAGAGAAACAGACTGAGTAGACAGTACTAGTATGACCATCTAATTTGGCTTTTTATTATCCTGTTTTGACATCCCATAGACGGATAGACTTATCATTACTACCAGAAGCTAATGTATTTCCATCAGGAGAGAAACAGACTGAGTAGACAGTACTAGTATGACCATCTAATTTGGCTTTTTATTATCCTGTTTTGACATCCCATAGACGGATAGACTTATCATTACTACCAGAAGCTAATGTATTTCCATCAGGAGAGAAACAGACTGAGTAGACAGTACTAGTATGACCATCTAATTTGGCTTTTTATTATCCTGTTTTGACATCCCATAGACGGATAGACTTATCATTACTACCAGAAGCTAATGTATTTCCATCAGGAGAGAAACAGACTGAGTAGACAGTACTAGTATGACCATCTAATTTGGCTTTTTATTATCCTGTTTTGACATCCCATAGACGGATAGAGTAATCATAACTACCAGAAGCTAATGTATTTCCATCAGGAGAGAAACAGACTGAGTTAATACAATTACTATAACCATCTAATTTGGCTTTTTATTATCCTGTTTTGACATCCCATATACGGATAGAGTTATCTTTACTACCAGAAGTTAATGTATTTACATCAGGAGAGAAACTTACTGATCTAACATAATCACTATGACCGTCTAAATTATTAAATTCATGGATTTTAATTTTCTTCCATTTGCAATTGAACAATTACTTATATCAACATTCTCAAACTCTGATCCACTTAAGTTACATCTTACAAAATTCCCTCCAATTAAAGACGTATTTTTGATTCTTATATTTTCAAAGCATTGGTTCCTGATATCTAACTTCATGCCTACTAATAAATTTAATCCATTCGATCCATTTTAAATAAATTTATCATCTATGCTTGTGAGGAGAACTAAAAATTTGATAAAATCTATGATCTCTTTGTTACCTTAATTCTCTTTATTAGATCTGATCTTTCCTTTTCACATGTTTTTAAAGATTAATCATGTTCACTAAATTTATAATCCTAAATATTTCTCAACAAATTAGGTATTTTACTTACTTTATACTTGACATCCTTAATATTCTCTTAATTGTTGATTAAAGATTCATAAAAGTTTTCATTTTTTTTCTTCTAAAGGAATGTAAGGATGTTAAAAATTTTATTTCTTTGAAAGATTACTATCCTATTTTATAGAGAGTCATCTATATCTTGGATATAACTTAGCATTTCAAAAAGATCTTGTTTCATTTAATAAACTTCTTCTTCCCTTTAGATATGACTTAAATACTTACTTAATCAATTATTGAATCTATAAGATCCCTTCGTCTGACTTTTCTATAAAAGTCTTAATATGCTGATCCCACCAAACTCTTCTACTTATTTAAATCTATCAAATAAGAATTCTTCTCAACATTCCAATTATATAATGTTGGTCCATCTACAATGTTGACTAATTTTTCTATATCAGTGTAGGAGGATTCAGCAAGATTTGTATTTTCGTTGATGAGGTTTAAGTATGATTAGTTTTCCTTTTCGATCTAATCATATACTTATTTGATTGATTGTGACAACTCCTCCAAAATTTTCTTCAACATTTAGTCGATTTGAGTAAGCAAGACTTTAAAGATCATTCTCTATTCATTTAACTTAGATGTATCTCCAGGCTTGGAGTCTTTTAATTTCTTCATAGCCTTATCCTGAAATTTATTAATGGGAACTGTTTGTTTGGTATCCACTCCATGGTCATACATACATTCAACACAAAGTTTTCTTTAGCACTTGTGAGGAGCTATACATATCAAAGATATTGGACTTTTGATATGATAAATGTAATTCATTATATTTAATAATGAATTTCTATTACTCTAACTTTAAGTTAGATATTGCAAAATCGATCATATTATCTTTTGCATTTTTATTTAAATGATGTTCAGACCATTTATAGATTGAAATTGACTATAATAGAGGTAAAAAATTCTATTGAAAATCCAATTCAACATTTGCAATACTTGAATTTTTAATAATATAGAATATTTTTATTTTAATGAAAAATTAATATTAAATTTGATTCCAATTAAATATCCTTTTTAATCCTTAATTTGGAGAACAAATAATTGAAAATTTTCATTTAACTATTTCGAGAATGGAATATGCTTTAAAACTTCTTTTAATTATGATTATTTGAATAATAGTTTCATAAATAAATTGCTATTCTTTTTGTTTGAAGAGAGGATTAATACTTTTATAATAGATAGAGAATTAGTAGATTATTCAAAAATTGCATATTCATGAGAAAAACTTCGTATGACCCTTCAGATATGGTTTGTCACCTATAGTAAATTGGACAATATTCATGACAGGTTTATTAACATCCAGCTATTTTTAGTCAAGCCTCAGATATATTAAATCATTTTCAACTTTTGGATAATTACCTTTTATTAATAGATCTTACCTCCCAAATCTGATTTTAGAACTTAAGCAATATTTCAATTTGAATAAACATTGAATCTAGATACAATAATGACAGAAAAAAAAAGTTTGGTTAATATAATTACTATTTTTAGATGGTTTATGGAAAGTTTATAATTACTGGTTAAGGGAGCTATTATACTAGATTTGAAACAAAAAGTTAGTAGCTGTTTTCTTATGAAAGTTCATAACATTTGATTTAAAATCGTAAATTTATTCATTTAACTTTGGAAGATGCTTTTTAGCGGTGACCTAATTACACTTAGTATTTGATCAATTAGTTCTTCTTTTTAATTTGCGTTCTTATTTAACTAATAGAATTTGATTATTATGAAGTTTAGAATCAGATAATTTATTTTTCTCTTTAAATGACTTTGTCCATCCAAAAAATATCATTAGTAACTTAAAAAATTGACAGAATTAGATATATAAATATCTAGAAAAATAAAATATCAAATTATTTAGCTATTCTTACTTATTTTCTCTCAGAAAAGTTTAGTTAATTTCTAAACAGAATAAAGTGTTCTGGTAATGGCCTATAACTCTTATTGTCTTTAGTATGTTTAAATATTTTCTAGGAAACTCTGTAATTTTTACTGAAAATAAATAGATGATTAATAACATAAATTAATTGAAAATTAGTCTCAGGCTGATCAATAAATAATATATTAAATTTTAAAATTGAAAACATATAAAAAGTCTAGAAATTCTCATCCAATAATGGAGTTTTTGAACAAAGAATTTCTTGATAAAAATAAATCTTATAGTAAAAGATCTTATTCGAGACAAGCTAACAAGCCTGAATTCTATTTAAAATTAAAGCATAAAACATAATTACCATTTTTGAATGAAAGTGTTGAGCAATTTCAAGATGATTCATTAAAACATGAAACTAATTTATTTATTAAAATGGCCCTCTATTTTCAGCTACAATGATTATGGAAAACGCTTATAAGAACTAAATTATGGGAAAAGATAATTTTTTATTTTAAGATCAATATCAATATCAAAATAAAAATTAAATAATCAGATCCTTGAAGGTTAGTTGACATCTTTCCAAAATACCTCTTGAAATTTTACAAATGAATATAATATATTTTGGTTGGAATAAAATTGAACAAATTCATTAAAATTTAAACTAAAAGAAAAATTAGTATCAATGATTTCTACCATCCCAATTATAAAGATATAGAATTCGAAGAATACAATAATTGCTTGAATAAATCATAAAATAATTCTAATTAATACAGGAGGACAATCAAATTGATTTTGCTTTTGGAGATTGTAATTATGATTGTGTTTCAAAAAATAACCTTGATTAGATAAATTCTTAATTTTCCATTTACTATCCAATATTTGATGATATAATAGATTTTGAAGAAAGAATTTAGATTTTCAGATGATAAATGTACAGAACTTTCAAATTCTTCCAAGAAATAGTAAGCGTTTGGAGTTAGTTCGATAATCAAAGAAGGTTTAAGTAATATTAAATGATGAGAGTCTGCAGTATATTATGGTACTCAATGGTAATTATACGAGTAGAATTAATATCTAATTAACATACATATGATAAATGAAAAAAGTGATTAATTACTTAGAAAATTTGTGAATTTATGAATATAAAGAAATAATACTATATTGCATTTGGATGTATATCAATAATAAAAAAAGAATTTAGCTCTCACATCATTAATTAAATTTAAATATGTTCCAAAAATAAATTCTCCATATTCCTTTCCTTTTTTAAAAACTTGCTTTTCTCTTATAAACCATCAGTATTTGTACTTTAAATGTATTCGCTCTTTAACTCTAAAAAATATTACAAATTCAGATAACCAAAACTGAAAGATATTTATCTAATAATTTTCAAAATAAATATTTGGATATTAAAATGAAATTAAAAATAAAATTGAGGATTGTTCCTTAAGAGTTGGATATGGAAAAAAAATATAATGATATATAATTTTAGAGATTAATAAAATAAATAATACATAAAATAATACTATATCATTAATTGCTACCTTATATTAATAATTATAAAGTATATTTATTATTTGCTAAAATTTGAGGAGGAAATAAGTATATAATGTTTTTAGCAGATTTTACTATTTTAATAATTTATCTATGGAGTAAAAATAGAAGTAATGTTTACATAAAAATGATAATTATCACACTTATCTCCAATATGATTTATAATGTTAATTAAGTATTTTTTAATCGAATTTACATGTAGTCGTCAAATTCTTTTTTTTTTTTGATTTAATATTCAAATACAATTTAGTAGGCAAGCATAATTTCATCTTATTATTGCTAATCGTATAAATGTTAAGAAACATAAGATTAAAATCCGTAATATCCATTCCTCAATTAATTTTACAATAAGGAGCAATCGCATAACGAGATTGTTGAATACTACTAAATTTCTGGAAAGTAATCATATTTATTATCAAAAGGGAGATCGTATAAAACAAATTATTCTGAGGGTGTACATTCATCAATTACATATTGTATAATAGATGTATTATGGACTAAATTAGTATTATAATTGAGTTCAGTTTGGTTGATAGCAAACTATGTGAGAATGACAGACTATTTCAACTACATCATTGCCAGTTCAGTTTGAAGTTAATTAACATCAATTGATTATTAATTTACAGAATCAATATACAAGAATAGTGGTATGTAAACACCTAAAGAGATAATCATAAGAAGAAAAAAAGTTAAAATTCCATAAAATTGCCAAATTAGCTTAATTTTCTAGTTCTTTTCTTCATCATCTCCCTTCATACCTGTGGTAGGAAGAATTTAACGATTGATTGAATCTGATAATTATGTAATTAAAGTTTAAATGTTGTTAAATAGAAACAATGTTGAATAAAGCTGATCCCTCCATTAAATAATATTTATTAATATCATCATATATAGAATTATTGCTATTAGATTGCATATAATAGATAGGATTAGTAATAATTACGACATTGAATTTAATTCATCTATTCTTTCAACAACATCCCTTGTTGTTTTATTTTTCAAATTCCATAATTATAATGCTAATTCTGGATAATTATCAAATAGAAACTGACTTTCCTCTCCAAATATAGGAACAGATGCAGCTTCTTCAACTGTTCTAAGTTTTTCAACCATATAATTTTTAAGAAAATATTTTAAATAATACTTAATTGGTAATCCTTTTTCTTATACCATAATTGTTTATTAGTCAAGTTCTTACAAAAATGTGTGATAGTCAAGTTCAGCATCATTTACATGAATACTTAGATTTTAGTATTATTCAGCTCCTAAAATCATAAAGGTTTGTGCTAATTCTTAATAAGAGTTTTTCCAATCATCAAGTTGAATCCCTAATAATACTAAATTGATATCTTAAAATAATATTAGTGGATAAGTTTGATTATTAGAATCCATTTATATGCCAGCAATATTGATTATACTATTAATAACAAATCCAAGAATAAATCCAACATTTATTAATACTAAAAAGCATGATGCTATTTTCATATAAATTAAAGAATTCAAAGTAGAATTTTGAAATTAATGAACGATACTTCTAACTAGTTTTTTTTAAGTTTATTGATTTCCACTACCATACCAAGTACTAGCTTTATGTTTATTTTTCATTTGATTTTTCATTTCCAAGAATTCTTTACGTGTTTATCTAGTTTTAACAGTAGCCAATATAATTTATAATTATTCTTCGATATTTTGATCTTCTGCAGAATTCAATTCAATTTCTATTAGTTTATGAGTATTCCTCTTTTATTTGCTATATGTTTCTTACTCTGACTTAGACCCTTCTAAAGTATCTAGCTTTTATTGTTATTCAAAAGATTTATCTTTACTTTGATTATTTTGATAATCTTTATATTATTCAAAGGTGAGTAACAATTTTTCATTTTAAGTTCGTATGGAATCTAAAGATGGAATGAATTCAGGAAGAATATATTAATTCTTGTTTTAAACTTAAATCTCTCTTTCTGAATCATCTTCATAAATCAAATTATACTCTTCTTCAGTAAATTCTATAGTATGAGTTTGATGAAACTTAAAAGTCTTTTTAAAAGTTTATATTTTGCGGACAGATTCTGTTGGCATCAAATATTTAGATTTACTTACCTATTTTAAGATCATAATTTATCTCATCATAATATCTAAAGCAATTAATTTAAAATCAAATTCTTTTAATTAATAAAAAGAATTCACTTTCAAAAATTATATAGTAACTGAAGTGTAACATTTCTTTTAATGTTAACCATTAACTAAAAAAATATTGCATTCATCAGGAGATCCTAAAAAGTATTTCATATAACTCAAAATATCTGACCTTAAATGTCTCTTAGGAATTAATAAAAAT